TGAATAAAACGCAGTTCAACTTTATTCAATACACTTCTCCCTGTCTTCTACCTCAACTTTAAGTATTTTTTGGGCAGCTCCTTCCCACATCCACTTCGAATTCTGTGTACAAATGTTCTTCAAGTTATTTCAACCAAAACTCATCAAAAAATTGTTCCAAACTTTATCTTTGGAAGAATCATCTAGAAGAATGTTAAGGTCATTATCGACATTCCCTATGCTTCTTCACCTCAAGGCATCAAATACTTCACAATCATCGGTCCTCATATCGATTGCATGGAGGAGAAATACCTGGTTGGTTGTAGTTATTGCTTAATGCACCTCGTTAACTCCATTTTGCCTTCACTGCTTCTTGACAAATACTGCGAGAGATCTGTTTTCCTCAGAGAAAACATCAAAAGCAGAAAACAAGCTCCGTTTAATAAAAAGGAAGCACGCAAGTGGATCTTTGCTGAAGATGTTTACAGCTAAACCTAAGGCGATTATCACGCTATTGATGATACTCGTTAATCCATTTTTGCGCGAAAATACTTAGATATGAGTGTTTAATGTGAGGAGTTCAGAGCGCTCTATCCGGGCAGGATCGCAAGACAACATGCTGTTGGTGTTGTAGACGAGGGGCTTTGGCACTTAGAGTGGTACTGGAACGAACTGCCTATGTATGTGGAGAGAATATACGAGTTAGAGCACAGGTAAGCTGGTAGATAATAGCACTGTCGAAATTCCAAATTATGATACTTTGTGACATGGTACTTTCTTTTAAAAACTTAACTCACAGTATATAAGTTTGCCTTTTCTGTAAAATTTTTAACATAAGTAGAATGAACGAGGGCCGGCTTAACTCTAAATTCTAGGGCATTGAAAGTTGAATAATAAGTTAGGTACGAAAATTTAGATATTAATTAGCGAATCATGAAAAAGCACATGATAAGTTTGGATTCTGGGTTTCTAGGGATTTTATTGGTTTGACCTGAATTAACTTAAATCAAAATTCATATTGAGAAATAAGTCGGCTTATAATATTTAGTGACAGTTTGGGTAACCATTCTAGTCATGATAGATCTTGGGTTGGAAACATAACTAGGAAGAAATGCTTTGTTAGAATAGTAGAAGAAATAAGTCGTTTGCTGTACCTTGTAGAATTTATTTTTAGCAAAACATATTTTTGTTCCCAGAGCTTAGCTTGATAGCCTTATTCTCTTTCAGGTTGAAAATCGGCAATCAACACCACAAGCGATTTTAATGAAACTAATCCAGCATGTTGAATTCTTCATTGACAAGGGTGTCCTAGGGGAGAGCAAGTCTGTCACTTGCCTTGTTTTCGAGCACAAGTTCGTTATTTCGGGCATTTATGCATCGAATTCGTAATGGTCGCACTAGAATCCACATTTCTAGATCACCTCTTATCGCTCCTAATTCACAAGGGAAGTATGACTCGACGCTGGAGCAGCCAATACGTTTGCCAGTAGTCCCTCCGACATTAATTGGTGTCTGTCGCCTTATTCAAATTTATTATATCCTTCGGGTAAGCTTCTCATCTAAGATTCTTTTTGCAAAGAGACAAACATACGCTCTTAGATATGAACAAAATCTAATGTGTTTAGATATGTCTTGTTGATGAGAAAGGGAACGAATGCCTTCATCTCGAATTTCCACTGACAGTTGCTACCGTACCCTATCGAATACCAAACGCTGCGCAACCTCCTATCGATTACGGTTTGTGCTCAGAAGAAATCTTATTGTACTGAAAAGTCTCAATCAAAACTCAAATTTGAAAGAAAGGTTTTTGTAGATTTCTGTGCTAATCATGTGGAAGGCGGCAAGTATGTGTCCCCAGAATTCAGACTAGGGCAAGTGTACGATGGAGAAATTGAGGAAGGCAGAGAGGAAGAGGTTGGTTTTCTAAAGCACCGGTATCTGATCTTGTCCGTTGCGCAAATTTCCCCTTCAGCTTACTAATGTAACTCTATCATTGGTAGTTAATACGTAATATACAAGTTCTATCTCACGACATCTTCAATATCTAGTTGGAAATGTTATGTTTGTGGGTAAAAATGCTAGTCGTAACCTAATTCTCGTCTTTCATAAATTTTCTCAATTTCTTCACCTATTTCGATTTATTGCAACATCATCACATCATACTACCAAAATTTCTATCACTTTATAAGCCTTTGGATACATATATGAAGGGCTTAACTCGACTTATTATGAAGTAAAACTTGGATTAGTTGTTTCTAGATTTTCAGTGGGTATGGTATTAACTTTTCTCTGTTGAGAAGAAAACCATATTATTTAAGTACACGTTAAAAAACAAATAGACTAGAGAATAGAAGTTTTTCGACTTTCTTTTTTCACTGTGAAGGCAGAGGTTGAATCATTGAAGGGGTTATTGTATCCATGGCACAAAAAATTTTAAAAGCGATTATTTTAAGAAATGCATTGCATAGGAATATTTAAAGTTAACTTAGGCTCTTAATAGGTTATAATAGAGTACGTTTAGTAGCTTTTCACTGACAGATTTGTCTGTGTGTTATGCATAATAGGTGCATTTTGAGATGCTTATGGTTAGAATAAGAGTGTAAATTCTAAACTGAATTCCAACGACGCACTGCAAATATGTGCTGCTTAAAAAACAAACACATCAACTGTTACGAGTAGGTTAGTCTAAAACAAAATTTTTGCTAGCTTA